TGTGCATGTGACCTGGCTTGTCGCCGTATCTCTGCGTGGATCCCTGCTCGCTGCTTTCGCCACTAGCTGACTCGTGCACCTCCACCGCGCCCCTATGCGTGTTCCCAACACGCCATGCAGACTTCCATCGCCAGGACCGCGCGCTGGCCAACTGCGACCTCTGTCTGGACACGGACCGCTTCCACAAGAACCTCACCATCAGCGTCGGAACAACGGTCTGTTGTCCGTCTCAAGCTGTCTCCATTGCGTTGTGAATGTTGATGTAGCACACCACACACACCATACACACACACACTTCTCAGCGCCAGCCCCCACCTTACACTGTCACCACACCCACACCCACAAACCCAAACAAGCAAACCCAATGAACTAACCAACCAACCAACCAACACCCCAAAACAACGCCCCCCCCCCTCACTGCTTGCCACCCTGCATGTGCGTCAGATGTACCTGTCGCTGCCTGCGCGCGGTAGCCTGGGGCCGCAGCACTGCGTGATTGTTCCCATCCGCCACACGACGGCAGCAACAGACTTTGACGAGGACGAGTATGCGGAGCTGCAGCGCTTCCAGCGTGCGCTCACAGAGATGTTTCGCTCGCGGGACATGGACGTTGTGTTTATGGAGACGGTGATGAACCCGAAGAAGAACAGACACACGGTCATCCACGCCATCCCGCTGAGTCGCGACGATGGCGCAATGGCGCCCATGTACTTCAAAGTCCGTTGTCGTGTCGTGCTCGACTGTTGTGTGGTGTGGTGTGGTGTGGTGTGGTGTGGTGTGGTGTGGTGTGGTGTGGTGGGGTGTGGTGTGGTGTGGCGCTGCGTGGTGTGGTGCTGTGTTGTTGTGTTACGTCGTGCTGTACGTTTGCTATGCGAGTATGACGTGGTGTGCGTGGTGTCTCTGTCGAATAGCCTGGGCTTTTCATTTTTGTCTCATCACCACCGCGCATCTGATGGGCCCATCTCCAATCAACAGAAAGCGATTGCCGAGTGTGACACCCAGTGGTCACAGCACAAGAAGCTCATTGACACGCGCAAGAAAGGATTCCGCAGAAGCGTACGTCAATGCATGCATGCATGTGTGTGTGTGTGTGTGTGTGGTCATGTAATTGTGTTTGTCTGCCATTTTGCCTCCTTTGGTCTCAACGCGCAGCAGTGTCGACTCTCACTCACCTCGACCTCACACGTGTACGTCTGCCTCCCCACTTGTTCTTCCCCCACCTCTGCTGTTGTTGCTGCGTGGCGTGGGTACAGGTGCCGAAGGGCTTCCCATACTTCAACGTTGAGTTTGGGACGGATGGCGGGTTTGCGCACGTGATTGAGGACCAGACGCAGTTTCCCTTCTACTTTGGGCAAGAGATTGTCGGCGGAATGCTCGACCTTCCTCCCCGCACGTGGATGAACCCGAGACCGGACAATTATTCCACCCAGCAGCGCAACAAGGCGCGCCTGGCCACGCTGTGGGCCAACTTTGACGTTACACAACAGTAGCCTCGGTGGCAATGTGTGTGTGTTTGTTTGTTTGTTTGCTTGCTTGTTTGCTTGCTTGTATGTTGTGTGTTTGTGTTTGCCTTTGCTTGTTTGCTTGTGTTTGTTTCCTTGAGTGTGTTTGTTTTGGTTTGTTTTGGTTTCGTGTGTCTGCTTGTGTGCTTGTGTTTGTTTGTTTTTGCTTCTTGTTTGCTTGGTCGTGTCAGCATAACGTGCCAATATGAAAAGTTCATCAAGAATTTACATATGTGGTTGAGGAAGAAGAAGTCAGCCACTGTGCGGCCAGCAGCACAGCAGCGCTGTTTATCGTGGTTGGTCGCCAAAGTGTGTCTTCACGCCAAACTCCGGGCGCTTTGAGCGACGACCCTGCACATAGCAACGCGAAAGATATGTGAGAGGGAACATATGGCACGTGGTGATGCACGCATTCGCCCACGCGCGTGCGTACTTACACAAGCATACAAACACAACCAACACCGCACGCGTTCACCCCGCAAACCCAACACAACCAAGTGGTTCTTTCTACCTTGAACATGGAGGCGATGTTCCATGCGACCTTTCCACAATCAGGACAGGGCCCACCAGGCAAACGAGCGCCCAGCGTAAACGTGTGCTTGTTGCAGTTTCCGCACTGGAAGAACCGCTTCTTGGTCTTCACCTTGTTCACGGCGTGCCCGTTGTCGATGCACAGCTTTGGCGCGCGCATCGTCAGCCGCTTGCACTGCACGCCGGAGATGGGGGTTGGTCATCAGGTGTGACATGGAGTGTGTTATGTGTGTGTGTGTGTGTGTGTGAGTTGGGTGTTGTGTTGTGCGTGTGTGTGTGTGTGTGTGTGTGTGTGTGTGTGTGTGTGTACACGTGTGTATGTGCGTTGTGTGTGCTTGCTTCTGTATCTGTCGTGTGGCAAGCTCCTCGACCACAACCCAGTGAGATGTACGCACCGTACTGCACTTGTGACACACGACGGTCGTTTCCTTGATTGTCTTCATCTTTTCCTCCATCTTCTCCAATTCCTCTCCGCGTGCCAGCATGCGCATAAGCTCCTTCTCTTCCGCCTGAAAAGTGGGAGTGAATGGATGGATGTGTGTGTGTGAGGAGTGTGAGAGTGTGAGAGTGTGAGGAGTGAGTGCGTGTGGGGATGAGACGAGCCCAAGTACAACGCGGCGGGTGGTTAACGAATGCAAGGCATATGTCCGCAATATGGTTTGATGGCGTGCACACACACACGCACATGAACACACATGAACACACACATGAACACACACGCACACCTCGTGGAATTCGTCCAGGTGCTTCGATTTGCGCTCAAGCATCGCCTTTGTCTCCTCAGAACTGACATAAGCAGCAATTCAAGATTGCAAGCATACACGCACACGCGCACACACGCACACGCACACGCACACGCACACGCACACGCACACGCACACACGCACGCGCACACACGCACGCGCACACACGCACACGCACACACACACACACACAGATGCAAGCACCAACGACAACACGGCCCGATACACGAACACGAGGAGTGAGCTTACGGCAAGAGAACACCACAACGCAAAGCAAAGCAACAACACGCAACAAAGCAAAGCAACAACACGCAACAAAGCAAAGCAACAACACGTGCACACATGAGCCAACATGTGAAGTAATGCAACGCGATGACGTACTCAATATCGCCGACGATGGCTGTGAGGACGGATGACTTTGGGCGCTTGGACGTGCGCGCCTCTCGATCCTCTGCTGCAGTTACCTCGCGTCTGGCCACGCGCTTTCGCAGCTTATCCACGTCAACGTCCTCTGTCGTGCAGGTGCAAGAGCAGGTATTGCAGGTCAGTGCACAACAAGTGCATATGATGTCAGCAACAGCAGCAACAACAGCAACAGCAGCAACAGCAGCAGGGTGAACAACAGGCTCAGCTTCAGCCAATCGTTTGCGCAGCAAGACCAAGTCACCACAGCAGCGATGCAGCGTCAAGGGCGAGAGCACTGACGTGATGATGGTGACACGGGCGCATTGGGATCGACTTTGGCGAATCCGCCTTTGCTGCGGGCGAGCGCGGCTGCACGTGCGTATGGATCACGCGCTTTGGACAGTTGGATTTGCGACCCCTGTGCAATCACAATACAATCGCACGTGACAGGCAACGAAGGCGCAAGCATCAATGACAATGTGTGAGCGGTGCTTGAAGGGCGACCATGGAGAAGGCGCCCTGCATATTAGCAGCACGCTTTGCAAAGCACAAGGGATACGAGCAAAACAACACGCACAGAAATGCTGTGCTTCGGGCATCATGTGCATTCAACCACGTGTCAGGACACAACCAGCCGTGCAACGCAAGTATGCACACGAGAACCATTCACGCACAGCCGCACAAACACATTGAAGCATACGTCACACACATGCACACACACACGCACAAATACACGCACAAATACACGCACAAACACACACAAAATACACGCACAACAAAGTGTGCATCCATGCGTACCGCCTGTGCGCCGCGTGCAAGCATGGGTCTTGACTGTCCGTTGAGTGCAAGGAGCTTGTCGCACGTGGCCGTGAGCACGGAGGTCGATGCCTGGGTGTCTGGACGGACACCCGATCTTGGGCGGTTGAGGAAGGACCCATCGCGCTTCTTTGCCGCTTCACGAAACTCGTGCTCAACCATCTTCTTTGCAAGCGGATCTGAATCACACACACGTGTCCACGACACAGCGGTGGTGGTGGTGGTGGTGGTGGTGGTGGTGGTGGTGGTGGTGGACAGAGAGAGAGAGAGTGTGTGTGTGTGTGTGTGTGTGTGTCAGTTGGTTTGTGTCTGTGCAAGTTGCCCTGTTGTCATCCATACCAATACACCGCAGAGCACACATGCAACATACGTCACAGCACACGACAGAGCACACCGCCACGACCGCTTACTTGAGGAAGTCATGGTGCGCATGGCCTTACGAAAGGTGTTGTTGGCACTCAGGGATGTCACGGCTTCCAGTCGCAGCTGACTCTTCATCTTCTCCATCGGCGTCTTGGCCTTCTTCGATGAAGATGACGATGATGCACTCTTTCCAACAACAGATGCGCCTCGTGCAAGACCAGTGGACGATGATGGTGATGGTGATGGTCGACCACCGGACCGCTGCCGCGCCGCCAACACCGTGCGCGCGTTGGGATTCGGGCCCATTCTGTGCACACATGCGTGTGTTTGTGTTTCAAATGTGTTCGTTCATGTGTTCGTGAGGGCGTGTTCAAAACTGCGAGTTTGTATATGTGTGTTCATCGGCGATCGATCAGCAGATGCAATGAACCTTTGTTGACACCAACAACAGAGTAAAGTGTGCAATAAAAGAGACAAGGTTGCACGGATATGCCTGAATACGAACCCGAGGTTGAGGACTTGCCGCGATTGCCTCTTCTTCTTCCTGTACGCGGAGCCAACATGCGCTTGGCAATATTCCCTGACACCGCGGCAGTAGTCATGATCGTGTGTGTGTGTGTAAGTGTGTGTGTGTGCGTATGTGTGTGTGTGTAAGTGTGTAAGTGTGTATGTGTGTATGTGTGTATGTGTGTAGGTGTGAAAGTGTGAAAGTGTGTTAGTGTGCATGTGTGCACGTGTGTATGTGTGTGTGCTTGTGCACTTGTCAGTATGCATGCATCGGTATGCATGCGTCAGTGAGAGCGGTACGTGCGTGTGTGTTTGAGCAGGTGACATGCCTCACTCACCCCAGTTGCAAATTGACTGGCCAGCTGCATGGCTTGCCGTCTTTGGTAAACGCCTTGCACATGGCGAAATCCGAGCACGTGCCAACCATGAGCAGTTGGCTTTCATCGCGCACCGTCAACATTGGCCGCGAGCCGGCGCGCTCCTGTCACGCACGTCGTGTGTTAGGAGGGGGCAGGTAGTTGTGTTCAGAATGAAGCGTGGGGGAGCATACACACACACACAACAACAAAACGTGCACACGATGTACACACACACACACACAACAACAACAACAACAACAAAACGTGCACGATGTACACACACACACACACACACACACCTCCATGAGGACCGGGTCGGAAATGCCGACAAAGACGCCAGCATTCTCGCGCCAGTGCTTTGCATGCACTGCACCAGAGACGAACAGGCCAACCTGCATAATGATGCACAAACACATGCGCCCACGCAAATGCATCACGTTATCCAAGTCCGGGCGAGGCGTCACGGGTTCAGCACAAATGCACACACACACACATGCAAACACACACACACATGCAAACACACATGCACATGCAAACACACATGCACACACACATGCAAATACACATGCAAACACGCACACGCCCTCCAGTTTCACGTGCAAGAGCCAAGGCAGCGCACCCCGTCGTGGTTGAGGTCTGACATGGTCCAGATGGCGTAGTTTGCGCCCTTGGATGTCTGTTTCGTGGGCGACTTCTTGGCCACGACCCCAAACGTCACAATTGTCTCCGTTGCCGATTCGGGCGACTTTGCACGGTGTCGCAGCTGTTGCAAGCATGAGCACGCATTGAGGTGAGCGGGGCGGGGGAGAGGAGGAAAGAGGGGTTGCTGAGGGTGGTTATGTGATAGCTTTGGCAGTTGTTGCCGTGATGTCAAGTTGGAGACTGCAAACGCCGGCACCTCGGACAGCGACGCAGCTCATTTGCTTCCTGCTACAGCGACACCAAACACAAGTGCATGTGGCTGCATCTTGCTGCGTGAGTGCGCGCGTCACTTACCACACTGACAATGTCACGGATGGGAACAAACTTCCGCCCACTCATCATCGACTTGAGCTGCAGACTGCCAATGGTTCGGTTCCTGTGCAGAGAACATGTGTGTGTGTGTTGCAGTAGAGGAGGTGAGCGAGCATTCGTACAGAAGGGAGCCATCATGCAGAGAAGCAACAACAGCGACGACAAAAGCAAGCGCGTGCGTTTGAGTCACACCAAACAACGTACTTGAGTCGGAGTCCCGTGTACTCGTCCTTATCGCTCTGTGTCCAGTTGGATGCGCCGCTGGTTGTTACCTTTGCACCGGTGCCTGCCGATGGCGATGCCCCTGATGTTGAAGCGCTGCCACTGGTGCCGGGTCGCCTGGGCGCATTTCGCGGAACCACCGCCCGCTGTGGCGGCGCCGTCTGCTTTGCCGTCAAGGAAGCTGAGGACGGATGGGTAGTCATGCCGGGCGTAGCTTGCTTCTGCGACCCACTGGTGCTTTGAGGGCGAACGCTCCGCGTCGGTGCAGCAGCTGCTCGTGGCGTCGAAGGTTTCCTGGCTGCGGTAGTTGCTGCGGCTGCTGTGGTGGCATTGGTGCTTGGTGTGGGCTTGTTAGCGGCACTGTTGCTGTTGGTGTTGTTGTTGGTGTTGTTGTCATTTGTGGTGGTGTTGTCGTTGATGGTGGCGGTGGCGCTGTTGTTGGTGGTCTTGGTGCTGTTGGCCTTGTTCAGCTGCCCACGCACCTTTGCCAACTGCTGCTCCAACGCCGCGAGTTGTGCTTGGAGGGCAGCTGAATCCTGTGCTGAATCCTGTTCTTTCTCTGCTTCGGCGGCATCTTTCTTGTCCTCCTTTGTTGTTTCTCCCTCGTCCACGTCGCCAAAGATGTCGGACAGATCGTCCGTTGCCCAGAACCCGGAATCCCCCTCTGCACTCAAACAGACAAGGGCGAGAGTGGTTGGACAACAGTCAAAAGAAAGAAAGGGAATCAGACCGTACACAGAACACACACACAAAAAAGAGATTCATCCACACACAACCACACGTCAACGCACTCACACACACGCACACACACACAAAGAGATTCATCCACACACAAAGACACAACGTACATCAACGCACACACACTTCACGCTTACACACACACACTACACGCTCACACACACACACTACACGCTCACACACACACACACGCACCCATCATCGATGATGTCTTCCTTGTTGCTTGGTCGCACTCAAAAAAATGGCGCCACGGACTTGGTGCTTGATGCGCAGTGTTGGTGATTGTGCGGAAATATGGCCAGTTTTCTGTTTTGGTGAAATGAGGTGGACTGCAGCCAAACAAAACCATCGAACCACGACCTTCCACCAGTCTCTGCCTTCGTGTTTGTGTTTGTATGTTCGCATCGACCCCCCCCCACCGCCCCTCATCTCGCTCACGCGCTCTCCTTGTCGTCGTCGTCGTCCACAAGCACCCACACACAAGGCACCTTCACCATGGACAACTCCATCGCTCTGACCGTGGTCTGGGCGGAGAAGGACACTCAGCAAATCATCAAGGTACATGCACACTTGTTCCTGTGTGACGTGTCTTATTGCGTGTCGCCACATCACGACATGTTCGTGTGCTACACGCACAGGCGCTCGCTTGTAGTACTATCAGTGACATTGACAGTGGCAGTGTTGCTGCTGCTTGTGTCTCAGCGCAGTGGCTCGTATCGAAAGTGTGACTCACTTTCTCCTCTTGTTTATGCACCTTTGCTCTCGTCTCTGCTCTCTTCCAATCTGCCCTTGCTCGCTTGCCTGATGCAGTTTGGACGGCAAATGACCGTGGCGCAAGCGTGCGTGCTTGCTCTCACAGAGTTTGGTCAGGATCCATCTCTCGGTACGCGGCTCGCTAACATCCGCGTTTCCTGCTTTCCATCACCCGTGTGTGCACCTACGAACACGGCTTGCTCTGTTATTCTCGCTCGTTTCCTGTGCCAGCTTCCACGCACCACACATTCACATCTCGTTTCTTGCGCATGAACATTGCCCTGCTTCATCGTCGTCACAGCGGATATGTATGGCTTCCTTCGGCAGTCCATGCATGGCGGCTACGACATCTGGGTCGACCCAAAGGCCACCATCGGCACCAGTGGCCTGCGCAATGGGGTGAGCGCTGCACACCCGCTGCCTATCATTTGCATTCCTTGCGCAGGCTTGTCCATGTTCGTTCACGCGTGTTCTTTGCACCACCTGTTCCCTCTGCACCAAACGCTCACGCAAGAAAGAAGCAATGTACGGCTACCTCTCACACACCCTCTTGTTATCTCAACACACACAAACAAATACACACACACACACTGCGTGCGATGATCGCAGCAAATTGTGCAGTTTGCGCCAAAGCAGCGCCCCCTCAAGATTCGCCTCATCGACGGCAGCGAAAAGACCGTCCGTACCGTCAAGGTGGGGGGAAACACCACCAGGTCCCACTGCATGTGATACCCCATCTGTACTGCTGTGGCTGCTATAGCTGCTGCTGCTGCTGCTGCTGCTGCTGCTGCTGCTGCTGCTGTTATCCTTGCCCTTTTTTCATCGTCTTGCCCTTGTGCTTGCCCTGGTTTGCGTGTTGTTGTGCAACACGACCGTGTACGCACCATGCTTCCCGCCACTCACCATCACGCACATGTGGCCACAGATTGACGAGAGCCTGCCTGTTGGCGCGATTGTGCACAACGTGTGCCAACGCATCGGCATCCACAACCACGAGGAGTACTCGTTCATGCTGGACGAAAAGGCCGCTTCTCCACAGGACACCCGCCGCTCAAAGAAGGAAACCCTCGTCGACCTTCGCAAGCGCATGGCTGTACGTCTTTGTGCGTGCCTGTGTGTGTGTGTGTTTGAGTGTGTACGCGTGTGTGTGTGTGTGTCTTGTGTGTTTGTGTGTTTGTGTGTCTGTGTTGTGTGTGCGTGTGTGCGTGTGTGTACGTGTGTCTGTGTGCGCTTCATGATGTTGCTGCCATAAGGGCTGTGCGCTGCCCTGTTTCTTCTGTTCACCTGCCCGCCTTTGCGGACCGTCCCGGTGCACGCCAGTGCCTCACATGTGCTTCCCTTGCTGCACACCACCACGCAACAAACACACACACACACACACACACGCAACACACACATACACATGAACGAATCTCACGCGCGGGTGTATCTACAGGACGATGAGAAGTGGCTGCAGCACGAGCTGACGCTGCGAGCGCAGGGCGTGATGCCGGACCAGGTCCTCGTCCTCCGTAAGAAGTTTTTCTTCTCCGATCAGGAAATCAACAGAGACGATCCTGTGCAAGTCAACCTCGTCTACGGACAGGTGTGTGTATGTGTGTGTGTTTGTGTGTATTTGTGTGTGTGTGTGTGTGTTCGTGTGTTCGTGTGTTCGTGTGTGTGTGTGTGTTTGTGTGTGTTGCAGTCGCTGTGGGTCGTCTCCTTGCTACTGTGCTTGTGCTTGTGCTTGTGCTGTGCTGTGAACTCTTTCGGTACTGTTAACACTGACGCTACCCATGCTGTTTTATTGTGCACTTCACAACCGTTCAGGCCAAGGACTCGATTGTCAAGGGCGAGCATCCCTGCACCCTCGACGAAGCCGTACAGGTCAGTCCCCCCCCCCGGGCACGTGTGAGGTTTGCATGTGTGTGTGTGCATGTGTGTGTGTGTGTATGTCTGTCTGTCTCTATCCGTCTGTCTGCTCCCATCTGTGTGCGAGTGCTGCACTCCGTCACCGACCGTGCTTGTGCCACTTAGTTCTGTATTCTTGCTCTGCTTTCACGCACGTTTACATTGACACCACTCCACTCCCTTGCTCTTCCTCCCTCTTCCCTTCTTCCCACTCAGTTTGCTGCCATGCAAGTGCACATTGAGCATGGTGACCACAACCCTGACCGCCACAAACCGGGCTACCTCGACGACCTGCGAGCCGTGCTCCCTGCGGAGTATGTCAAGGTCAAGGGCGTGGAGAAGAAAATCTACGCAGAGCACAAGAAGCTCGTTGGCCAGCCCGAGCTGAACATCAAGTTCAAATACACCACCATGTGCCGCGCCCTCAAGACATATGGCATCACCTTCTTCAGCGTGCGGGAGAAAGTGAAGGGCAAGAACAAGCTCATCCCACGCCTTCTCGGCGTCACTCGCGAGAGCGTCATGCGCATGGACGAAAAGACAAAGGAGGTGCGGCTGTGTGCTCGTGTGTATATGCGTTGTTTTGTGCGGTTGTATCTTTGCTTGTTCTTGTTCTTGTGTGTGTGTGTGTGTGTGCGTGTACGTGTGTGCATGTGTGTACGTGTGTGCATGTGTGTACGTGTTTTGTGCCTTTGTGTTCTTGTCCATGTGTTTGTATGTGTTGTTTTGTGCGGTTGTTTGTGTTCTTGTGTGTGTGTGTGTGTGTGGTTGTTTGTTGCGTGTTGCGCACTTTTAGGCGGTTGTGAATGTGTTCCAAGTTCACTGCTCGTCATATTCATTGGCACCATCACACCACCGCCGTCACCACGACCGCCACCCTCCCCTCCCCCAGGTGCTGAAGACATGGCCGCTGACGACGGTGAAGCGGTGGGTTGCATCACCCAACAGCTTCACCCTCGACTTTGGCACGTACTCCGACTACTACTCTGTGCAGACGCTTGAGGGCGACAAGATCTCGCAGCTCATTGCGGGCTACATCGACATCATCCTCAAGAAGCGCCGGCAACAGGACAGGCGGGAGTCTGCGTCCAGCATGGCAGCACAATCTGGAAACACAACCTCACAACTCGCCCGCGCCGAACGCGTCAACCTCCGCGGCAGCAAGGCGACGCAGGTGGGCGTTCGTGTTTGCGTGCGTCTCTGTGCTTGCGCGCGTCTCTCTCTCTCTGTGTGTGTGTGTGTGTGTGTGTGTGTGTGTGTGTGTGTGTGTGCATGGGTATGTGTGTATGCGTATGTGTGTATGCGTATGTGTGTATGCGTACGTGTGTGTGTGTCATGTTTGTCTGCCTCTGTGTTCAAACGCATGTGCAAGTGCGGTTTGCGTGCGAGTTCACGCGAGTTCGACTTGCAAATGACCACCACCCCCTCACCCATCATGCACACACGCAAACACACCTGTCCCCTCTTCCACAGATGAACGTGCGTCAGTCCGCCTCGGGCCACGCTTCGGTTCGTTCCACCATGCCGTCGTCCTCTGTTCTCGTCCTTGTGCTTCTTTTCTTCTTTCTTCTTCTTCTTCTTATGCTCCACTTGCACAGCTTACCCACATGTCCACTTCGCTGCATGACTGTCCCACCGACACAAAACGCCGCAACACCGCCGCAACACCACCACAACACAACACAACACGCGATACAACACTCTCCCCCTCTCACACGCTTACACACACTGCCACGCTCACACAACACACACACACACAACACACAACACACACGCATACTACCTGCCGAAACAGCTGCGTCCGCGCCTGCGCTCGTCGGCACAGGCACAGTCCACGCTTGCCAACCACATCTCGCGTGCCAACCGCGTGTTTGTGCTTGCAGGCAAGAAGATTGCGTCGCCCGCCACGCTGCCGCCGCTTGGCGAGTCCGCGTCCGCCCACCGCTGGCGCGAGGAAAAGGACCTGCTCGCCCGGCAGAACGTCGCAGCCGAGGTTGCCGCCATCCTCTCTGCCACCGCCAACATTGTCACGCTCACAACAGCCCGCAGCGACAACACCAAGGTCAACTTCACCGCCGTCGGCGCCAGCATCTCCACACTGGCGTCCAACATGCGGTCTGCCGCCGAGGACGTGGCCATGCTCATGGCCCTCAACCCGGTGCAGGCAGACAACTTCAAGTCGGCGCTGGAGCAGCTGTCATCGCACCTGCGCTCGTTTGTGGACACGGTGGCCCCGACAGAGCGCGGCATCATGAACCGCCAGAACATCCTCTCCTCTGCAAACCAGGTTGGCCAAAGCGGGTCGGCGCTGCTGTCCCTGGCCCAGGCGGCCGAGGTCTCCGACGAGAAGCAGAGCCACATCATGGGCCTCACCAAGGCCATTGCAAACGCCACCAGCGTGCTTGTGGACCGCGCAAAGACGGTGGCCGGCAAGTGCGACGACGCCGTGCTGCAGAGCAGCGTCATCACCGCCGCCAAGACCACCGCTGTCGCCACAACGCAGCTGGGCACCTGCTCCAAGATGCTGGTGCCATCCATCCACAGCGCGCTGTGCCAGGAGCAGCTGCAGGAGAGCGCCCGCGCCCTGGCCGCCTCTGTGGAGACGCTCGTCAGCGCGGCTCAGAACGCGTGTGCGGACGAGCAGGCCGTTGGCGAGCTCGCCCACGCCGCCACCGCCGTGTCCGACGCCCTCGGGCAGCTCATCCAGGGCATCAACGAAGTTGTTGTTGTCGTCGGCAACACCGCGTCGACCGGCGGCTCGCGCAGTCGTGCGGGCACGGCGTCCGGTGCCGCAACGGGCACGTACGCGACCCTGGGCGCAAGCGTGTCGCCCATGTTTGAGCGCGCGTGCGAGGAGATTCTGCAGTCTGCAGACGCCCTCCCGCGCCGGCTTGGCGACCCGCGGCAGATGGTGGCGACCGCAAAGCAGCTGGCCAAGGCCACGGCCGTGGTGGTGAGCGAGGTGAAGGCACGCGCCAACAGGGAGACAGACCCGACGAAGCAGCAAGAGCACCTCAAGACGGCCCGCCGCCTTGCCGACGCCACAACGCGCCTGGTGGAGGCCACGAAGAAGGCGTCGCAGAACCCCAAGAGCAAGAAGGCGCAGCAGGCACTTCTGGACGCAGCGTCGAACCTGCGCGACGTGACGAAAGCCACAGCCAGCGACGTCATTCTCAAGCGCGCCATCACGGGGCTGGTCACCAGCGCCAAGCAGTCTGCCGCCTCCGTCACCCAGCTCATCAGCGCCGTGCACGCCACGGACGACCTCGTGCGGGAGTCGTCAACACGCGAGCGGCTGGCGGCGCAGTGCCAGCACATCCGCGGGCAGACGGCGCGCCTGATCACGGCCATTCGCGGTGCCCGCCGCGACCCCATGAACGCTGCGGCGCAGATGGACCTGGTCAACAAGGCGCAGGACTTCCTGGCGCCGGCCAAGCGCCTTGCGGAGGCCGCCAGAAACGTCGCGCCCACGTTCACGGACGCCGCAGCCACCATGCAGGTGACAAACTGCGCACGCAGCGTCAACGCGGCCCTGGCAGACCTCAAGTCGTCCATTGCGTCCACGGCCGACGCCTCGGACAGCCTTCAGTTGAGCCACGCCGTGGAGAGCGTACTCACGCTCGGCTCCTCGCTGGCCCAGCTGGACGCGATGGCGGAGCAAGGGCAGTTGGCGGCGATGCCTGGGGACGACCCTGCCGAGGCGGTGCGGCGCATCATGGCGTCCATCCACGCCGTCAAGACCCGCATCAAGCAGTTCCAGGCCGCGGTGAAGCAGGGCAACGAGGACTTTGTCAACAAGTGCGCCAACGCCATGGCCAAGGCCCTCAAGGAGCTCACCGTGGCGGTGCAGGTGTTTGCAGCGAGCACACCGGCCTCTGAGCAGCAGCGCGCCATCCTCGCCCACGCCCGCGCGGTCATGCAGCAGGCGGCCCAGCTGCTGATGGAAGGCCGCAAGCTCGTGAGCGGCGCAGAGGCCGGCAGTGGCGGCAAGATGTCGGCTGCGGCCATGGCGGAGGTGAAGGCTGCGAGCAAGCAGCTGTTGGAGAGCCTGTCGCAGCTGGCCTCGGACCTCCCGGGCCAGCGCAGTGCGCAGCAGTGCGCGCAGCAGGTGCACAAGCAGGCCAAGCCGCTGACACAGAGCAAGGGCTTCAGCGTGCAGGCGCAAGGCCCCGAAGTGTTCCAGCAGCACTCGGCCACCGTGATGTCCGCGGCCAATGCCTTGTCGCAGGTGGTGTCGGAGGTGTCTGACAAGGCCCTGCTGGGCGGGCCCGACGAGGTTGCCGCGGCATCGCAGCGCCTGGTGGAAGTGCACAAGTCGTTTGTGTCTGCGGGGCTCACCCTTGCCGGCGCGTGCGAGACGCAGGAGGACGCAAAGGACCTGCTGTCATTCCTGCAGAGCATCTCCACCAATGCGGAGAAGCTGCTGAAGCTTGGTGCTGCCACGGCCGTGGACCCGACAGACAACAGCCAGCGCAACCTCCTCTCCTCCGCCGTGCGTGGCATCTCTTCATCCATCAACAATCTTCTCACCGCGTGCACGCAGTCCGCCCCGGGCCAGAAGCAGTGTGACAAGGCCATTCGTACAGTGCAGGCCGCAGCGGCCTCGCTCGAGAGCCCAACATCCGCCATCAGCGCAAGCTCCTACTTTACCTGTGTTGACGACGTGCTGACCAAAACCAGAGTGCGTCAGTGCATGTTTGTTTGTTTGTATGCTTGTTTGTTTGTTTGTATGCTTGTTTGTTTGTATGCTTGTTTGTTTGGTTGGTTGGTTGGTTGTATGCTTGTTTGTTTGTTTGTATGCTTGTTTGGTTGGTTGTATGCTTGTTTGGTTGTATGCTTGTTTGTACGTGTTCTTCAGCTCGCTTCCCCTGCACGTGCCTTCTTTGCACACATTCGCGCACACACGCATGCATACTTACTCACACACAACACGCACACACTCACTCACACACTCACACACTCACACACTCGTTCTTGTCTTCTCTGTGCAGGACCTGGGCTCTGCACTGGCTGAGGTTGCGGGCCACTGCAAGAACCGTGACACAGACCGCTTCAACTCTGCACTGCAGCACGCCACAGATGCCGTCGTCGGTCTCTGCGAGGACGCTGCACAGGCAGCATACCTGGTTGCCGTGTCTGATGTGTCCTCCTCTGGTGGCTCTGGCGGTGGGGCGCTGGACCAGGCGGGCGTGATTCGTTCCAAGGAAGCAATCGAGCACGCGTGCGCAACGCTGGTGAGCTGCACGTCGTCCCAGCAGGAGGTGATGGCGGCGGCAAAGCGCATCGCCACAGATACAACGAGCCTGTGCCACCTGTGCCGTGCGGCGGCGGAGCAGACAACCAACCCAGTTGTCTCGCAGCAGCTGGTCGAGGTGTCCACGGCCATCTCCGGCGCCACACGCGACGTGATTGCCAACGCAAAGCAGCTGGCCTCGTCCATGACCCCCGAGGCGCGCGCTGCGTGCCAAGAGAGCTCGGCACAGCTGAACGAGGTGGTGGATCAGCTGCTTCAGCTGGCCACCGACGCGGACGCGGATGCGAGCGGTGCCGGTGCCGCCGCCTTCAGCGAAGAGGCGAAAGCGCGCCAGAAGCCGTTCTGCACCGCTGGGCGGGACGTGGCAGAGGCAAGCTGCAAGCTCATCACCGCCGCCAAGAGCCTGATTGCCAACCCACGCGACCCGCCAAAGTGGGAGGAGCTGGGCCAGCACTCCAAGACAGTGTCGCAGTCTGTGCAGGCGCTCGTGTCCGCCATGCAGGACAACGCGCCCGGCCAGCGCGAGTGCGACAACACCGCCTACGAGATTGGGCAGCTGCTGCACGACCTGCAGGAGACGGAGTACGCGTGCCAGAGCGGCACGCTGGAGGTGGCTGACGACGAGACGATGGGCGGTTTCCAGGAGGAGATTGTGGGCATGGCTGCGAACCTGCGCGAGGCGTGCGACGCGCTCAAGACGGGCGGAACGAGCGACCCGGCGCGTCTGGCGCACGCAGCGGAGGCAACGCGCACCATCGCAGACTCGTTGCTCACGAGCATGATTGGCGCCATCTCGCACATCAAGGACAGCGAGGTGCAGCAGTCCGTGTGCGCGCAGGGCCGGACGTTGCTGGAGGGCGTGAGCCAGCTCGTGCACGCGGCACGCGACTGTGGCGGCAACCCGGATGAGAAGACGAAGCACCGCATTGTCGCACGCGCGCGTGAGAACCTGGACAAGGGCATCACAGAGTTCTGTAACACGATTGGGCAGCTCACCAACGAGACTGGCGTTGCTGCTGGCAACCTGAACAACATCAACCGCGCCCTGGACAAGCTGGAGCTCGGAGAAGCGGCCGAGTTCACCACTGCGCAGAACTTTGTCGACTACCAGGACTCTGCCAACAAGCACACCCGCAAGATGGCCACAAAGGCACAGGTGTGTGTGTGTGTGTATGTGTGTGCTTGTATGTGTGTGTGTGTGTGTGTGTGTGTGTGTGATGGCGCATCGCAGTTTGTGGTGGTGTGGTGGCGTTGTACTGGTTTTGTTCAAGTCGATCTTCGCGTTTTTTTCATGTTACTTGTTTGACTCATACTTCTCCTATCCCCCCCCCTTTTTTTTTGTTTCCCAAACCCACACAGGACATGTTGAGCAAGGCGCTTACGGAGCCGGAGGAGGTTCCTGCACTGGCCACCGATCTCACCAACCAGCTGCTCGCGCTCATCTCAGACACCACCGGTGCCCTCAAGGGCTTGCCGTCAGACAAGTTTGCCACACAGCTCAAGGGTGCCGTGCGTGATCTCGGTGTTGCCTGCAGCAACCTGGTCGGCTCCGCTGGGCTGCTGCAGCAGCGACCAACGGACCAGGTGGCGAAGCAGGAGGTGGCCGACAGCGCGCGCGAGGTGTCGCGTCAGGTGCAGAGCGTGGTTGCCCAGCTGCAGGCTGGTTCCCGCGGCACGCAGGCGTGCATCGACGCGTGCGTCAAGGTCGAGGACACGGTCACAGACCTGGAGACAACGCTCATGTTTGCATCTGCGGGCTCGCTCATGCCGGACGCGCAGACGACGTTCACGGCGGAGCAGGGCCAGATCCGCGACAAGGCCAAGCAGCTTGTGGAGCAGACCAAGGCGCTTGTCACGGCAACGGCGGAGTCCCAGGACGACCTTGCTGCTGCTGCGGAGAAGCTCAACACCAACTTTGACGCACTCGTCGAGTCGCTGAAGCTTGGTGCAGCCTCGCTTGGGCCCGACCAGGTGGACGCCCAGGTGCTGCTGCTGAACGCTGCACGTGATGTGGGCGCAACGCTCGCTGAGCTCCTCACCACAACCAAGTCCGTCTCCGGCAACCCACACGATGTACGTTTGAATGAAGCAGAAGGACGGGGATAGTGGAGGGGAGGGGGCATGTTTTGTGGTGCGTACACGGGGGTGCTGTTGTTGAATTGCGTTTGTGCTGCTCAAGATTTGCACATGTGCCACTTGCATTAATTCACTGCGTGGCGGTGGCGGCTACTCACCAATGCATGCACACACGAATAGGATGCGGCTGTGAAGAAGCTGGGCGAGCAAGCGCGGACCATGGCCACGAACATCAGCGGGCTGCTGAAGACGGTATCTGGCATCGATGATGGTGCACAGCGCGTCACACAGGCCCTCGAGTCTGCAATGCAGGCCATTGAGCGGGAAGAAACGAGGTGCGGAATGTGTGTGTGTGTTGTTTAAGTTGTTGTTGTTTGTTGTTGTTGTTGTTGTTGTGTTTGTTGTTGTTTTTGTTTTTGTTGTTTGTTGTTGTTGTTGTTTGTTGTGTTTGTTGTTGTTGTTTGTGTGTGTGTGTGTGTGTGTGTGTGTGTGTGTGTGTGTGTGTGTGTGCGTTGTCATTGTTGGTTGTTTGAACAAGGATGTGCGAAGTCATCGTGTATGTTTCGTGTTGTCATTGTCATGCATGGTTCGCCTCGGGCCGGATGTTTATGAATGTGCTCACCCACTTCCCTGGCCTTCCACACCCCCACCCTCCCCACCCCCACCCTTTCCTTTCTGTACACACCGCGCAGCTCCAGCCTTGTTGATGAGGATGTGAAGGACGAGGATGCGGTGGGCAACCTGATTGCGGCATCGCGGCCCGTGACCTCGGCGGTGACCAAGCTGGTGACGGCCATGGGCTCTGGCCAGGTGGATCGCCTGACGGGCGCCGCGAACGACGTACGCAAGGCCGTGATTGACCTGATGAAGGCTGCCGAGGTGGCCAGCGTTGTGAGCGAGGCGTCCACAGGCCGGGACGAGGTGCAGTCTGCGAGCAAGGGGTGCGCTGCGGCTGTTCGCGGCCTGCTTGGCGTTGCCGCGTCGCTTGCGGGCCGCCCAGCGACTTCCGACGCGAAGAAGCAGGCGCTCGAGTGGTCACGGCAAGTGGCGTCCAACCTGGCTGAGGTTGGCCAGGCCGCGCAGAACCTCAAGGGCGATGACTGGGTTGACCCGACCGACCCCAACGTCGTTGCGGAACAGGAGCTGCTGACCGCTGCTGCCGCCATCGACTCTGCCGCGGACAAGCTCTCTGTGATGCAGCCCCGCGCGGAGGTGCAGGTGGAGGACCTTCCGTTTGAGGAGCAGATTCTCGGCGCCGCAAAGAGCATTGCCACCGCCACGTCGTCACTGGTCAAGGCCGCCAACGCCGCACAGAAGGAGATGGCCGACACCATGCCGTTCTCTGGCGATTATTACAGTGAGGAGGCGCAGTGGTCAGCGAGCATGGTGTCTGCCGCCAAGCTGGTTGCGTTTGCCACGCAGAACCTGTGCGAGGCGGCCAACGCCACGGTGCAGGGCGGCTCTGCCGACGAGAAGCTGGTGGCGTCTGCGAAGAGCGTGGCCAACTCCACTGCGCAGCTCATGCTTGCTTGCCGCGCAAAGATGGATGCGCAGTCGCCGACGGCCAAGCGGCTGCTGGCTGCCGGCTCCGCCGTCAAGAAGGCTGCAGATCACTTGGTGGAGTCTGCCAAGACGGCGCTTGAGGAGGCGCAGGAGGCAGACATGTCCCTGGACGAGCGCCCCGTGCAGAGCATGCGCCAGGAGATTGAGGCTGTGGAGGCCGTGCTGAAGCAGGAGCGCGAACTGGAGGCTGCAAAGCGCAACCTGGCCAAGCTGCGCGCTACCAAGTACAAGAAGGGCAAATCCACCTGGGCCGCCTCCCTTCGCCTCTCCAAGCACATGGAGTGATGGAGTGAGAGCGAGACGCAGCAGGCATGTGGTGGTGCCGCCGTGTGGTATGACTTGTCGTTTGCTCAGCGAGGTGGGTGTTGTTGGTGCACGTGTGACATGACAAGTTGTTTCTTTTGTGCGACCTTCTCAATACAGTTTTGGTTCTGTGGTTGATTCCCCGTGATGTTTGCGGTTGACTTGTGACTGTACTGAGCGCACTTTCGTTCTGTTGTTTGTTTACTCTCGTTTCGTTCGCTCCATAAATGCCGCGAAAGCCGAAACGTCTCAAGTGTAAATCATGAACAGAGCAGTGGTCACAGACCAGACAAGATGTCAGGCAGCGAGCTGCACATGACAATTGGGCAAAGTCTTGGGCGGCAGCAAAAGTAAGCGTCGGTGCATTTGTTTCGTGGGCGCGTCAGCTTGACTTGATAGCGGTTTGTTGCGGCATGCCTATGAAGAGAAATGTGGGGATGCATGTAAGATTCATGAATGAGTGAATGAGAATGGCGGCAACGATGGAAGGGCACACAAGAAACATGGGGTTAGGGAGAGAATGGCAAAAGAGAGGTTTTGAGGGAAAAGGGAATTGGGAAAGAGGATTTTTTTTTCCTTCAAGGAATGTCATCCGCTTGCCACCCCAGCTTTCAGGGCCAATGAGGCCAAGTCAGCAACGGTCATGGAAGTGCGGAAGCACCACTTGGCCATCTGGTCTGAAGACACCAAGTATTTTGTCTGCGATGGACTGGGTTTGAGCGCACATGATGGATGGAAGCAACAAGAGCCTTTTCTCCTCCATTGAAGGTGGATACTGGGGTCTGCCGCAACACGTGCGCCACGTACCAGCTTGACGAGGGTTAATGCAAACTTGGCGAGTTTGCCCCTGTCGCCATCGGGGTAAATGGAAGATTGGAAGAGAGGGGAGGATAGAGGGAGGGAAAGGGGGGGGGGGGGAGAAAAGGGTGGAAAGAAAGGGTGGAAAGAAAGGAAAAGAAGAGAAGACAAAGAAGCAGAGATATGCTTGCATCGAGCAGGGGAAGCGTACCGGTGACGTTTGCTTGAGGAGCGTCGTTGCCCCAGCTGGTGTCAAAGACGACCGTCAACTTGATTGAGGTGTTGGTTCGCACGATGGTCATGCCGGGCGTTCCAGATGCCGGGGAGCGGAGTGGTTTCCTTTGAAGAAGCGGGTGAAGGGGGGTCCTGGCTGGAGCCAGCCGGGCTGCATCTTAGCCAACCATAGTCGTCGTGGTCGTCAGGCGCAGCAGAAGAGAGAGCTTGAGAAAATGAACACGACCACGTGGGTCGCTGCACATGTGCCACTGAAAAAGACGACACAAAAGAAGCAGGCGGAAAAATCACGCAGGCAGAAATAACTGTGGTGGAGTAACGGCAGGCGTGTGCACGTGGCGATCAACGTGGCAAGTAAGCAAGCAAGGTAAAAAAATCGTGGGAAACGTCACATTCGATGTGGGCTGCTGTCAAATTTGACAACATCACTGTTTGTGCTGTCGCCTCATGGTTGCATCTCTTCATTAATTGTTGCTTGCGTTGCCCCTTGCTCGTGTTTGGGTTTTGTGTGTGTGTGTGTGTGTGTGTGTGTGTGTGTGTGTGTTTGTGTGGTGTGCGTGTGTGTGTGTGTGTGCTTGTTTGTGTGCGTTGTGTGCCTTTCTCACCACCCACCAACAAACAAACCCCACACGAAAACAGGAGGAGCTTGGTTGATGGATGGTTTGTCTGACACATACGACGCGCACGAAAAACAACAACAACAAAAGCCTGCACAAGCAATGCTGCAAGGCGCAGCCACCAAACAGCAAAGAGGTATGCACGATCAAAAAACAAACACCACAAGTCCCCCTGGTCATATGGGTGTGATTGCGAAAATGCGTGTCGGAATGTGAATGAATGAGCGTATAGAATATCAGAGATGATGAGCCTGGTAGAATTGGCTATGTAAGAGTCTATCTGATTATCAAACAG